TGCTTCCAACCAATAACACATAGTAGTGGTGACGGGATGCACATGTGATTTTGTTCAAGCCATTATGTTCAAGCCTTAACTCCTTACTATGGTAATCATCTTAACAGATCCCTCTGATATTGAATTGACTATGAAGAAGCAAACAGCCATGTTGAAAGGATGTGAATGTAGCAAACAACAATGTAAATGAGGAAATAGATCTTTACCCAAGTCTAATCTGTAGATGAAGAGCTGTCCTGTCTGGCAATGATCACAACCTTGACTATGTGTGCCTGATGCCCTGGCACAGATGCTATGATAGCATGTAAAACCACTTGGCAGTAAGCACCTAGCCCTGTAGAAATTTGCTACACAAAAAGAAAAAGTTATTATTGGTATGGGCAAGTTTAAATCTACTTGTTTTTTATTTGTTCCACCTGGACTTTATTTTTCTGTTCTCCTTTCTGACATTTTTATCTTAATTTCTTTATTGGCTTTTTCACTTAAGGCCTTTAGAAATTGTCTATATAATTTTAGCTTACCAATGTCTATATTTATTAACACTTTAAGAACAAAGCAACAAACAGTGGTACATGTAATTTGAAGTTTTTTTTTTTTTTTTTTTTTTTTTTTCTTTTAGGGGGCCTGCCACCCAGATCTTAGATGAATCTCACACGAAGGCCTTAGCTTGGTTTGTTTCTAGCCAGTTCTTAACTTTAAGTTATCCCATCTATCTATTGCCTGTGGGCTTTTCCTGTTTTCTTCTGTAAATCTTACTCTTACTCTGTGGACTGCTGTGTAGCTGGGTGGCTGGCCTCTGATGTCCTCCTCCCCTTTTTCTCTTGCTCTCTTCTGTTCTTGTTTCTCCTTTTATTTATACTCTCTTGTCGAGCGGTCTTTGTGGGGCTGCAATTGGAGTCAGCCGAGCGGCCCCAAGTCCATACTTGAGTTGGGGGGTGTGGATGAGGGAAAAAAGTTTGTACCTGAGTGGGAGAGTGTGGATGAGGAAAGGCTAGCTATAGACAATAAAGAAAAGAGAGACAGAATAAATGTCAGGAGGGCAGATTGGTCAGTACTGAAATGCCACAAGTTTATTTTTCATCACTCTTATATACCTTATCCAAAAAGGGGAAGATGGTATATGATGTATACAGAACAGACTTTTCTTTTTCAGTAACCACACCTTAGTTCCAACTTCTTGTTTCCTAGCCTTGAGGTCAGGAGTAGCCACACCTCAGATTCAAGTTTGTTGTTTTTTAGACTAAGACAGCCAAGCATCCTACTGTAGCCACACCTGTGACCTTTAGGTCTTATGACTTGCTGAGGACACTTTGAACTCTCCGTCCTTGTGCCAACATGGAGTGCAGCCATCTTTATGGACACCCACACTCTCTACACTCTCTACCTGTCAGTTCTGTCTATCCTTGCTCCTGCCTTGCTATTAGCCATTCAGGTCTTTATTAAGGCCACCAGGTGTTTTTGACAGGCACAGTGTCGCAGCTTCACAGAGTTAAACAAATGCAGCATAAACTAAAGTCACACACCTTAAAATAATGCATCAAGTGCAACATAAACAAGTCACACACTTTAAAATATTCCCCAACAAGTACACACTTTTAATCTTTCCCTTTACACATCTTCATTATTGTTTGTGATTTTACTTTTAGATGCTATAAATTCCTCATTATCGTTTGTTTAAATAATACATATCTTCTAAGAAAAAAATATTTATACAAGAAATTGCCATTTTGGTGCTTTGCATGGCTGTATTTATTTATTTATTTATTTATTTATTTATTTATTTATTGCTTTGGAGCTCTGTTCTACAGTGCAATTAAGTTGGTTGGAAGCACTTTGATACCTTCTAAGGTCAGCAATCAGACTTGAAGTGTAAGAATGGGAAAATACAACCTAACTCCCCACTGACCACAGGAAGCTATAAGTTTAAACTTAAATTCCAGACCCTGCCCTCAGTAAGTAAATAGGCGAAAGTCACATTCTTTGTGGTTTACAGCAGGACCTGTAACCCAGGAGCCTGCAAAGGCAGACCTCTGATTGGTCTATGGGATGCGGGCTTGGATGCTTTAAATTGATTGGTCTGCACCACGCAGGCCCTGGATGCTATAAGATGATGGTTTAAGATGTGCTGGCTTTGTTGTAATCCTATAAAAGCCATCTTACTTATGCCCTTGTGGTCCTCAGTCTCTACCCCTGCATGGTGCATGACTGTGGAACCCAGTGCACTTGAAATATAAAAGACCTCATGTTTTTACATCAAGGCCGCTTCTCGTGAGTGATTATTTTTTTGGGGGGGGGCGCCTTTCCTGAGTGGGAGCATGAAGGTCCGCCCTCTACAGGTCTTTTATTAGTATTAATTTCAAACTACCCCAGCTATTATTCCACACTGTGTGCTAACATTCTGTTTCCTCAGTTCCAGTCAATCATATATTTTTATATTCCAGGAGATAGAAAATATTACTGGTAATGCTCAAGTAGATTAATCTTTAATCAAAGAAAGCCCCCTCATTATATATACTAAAGTATGGCTCCCTGTAGTGAGGTAGTCCTTCTGTAGCACTGACCACGCCCATTGGGGGGTGGAGCGATGGGCGGAGAGGACCTGAGGAAGGAGGTTGGAGGGGGCCAGGAAGGCGCTCTCTTTCTGGCGTGACTCGGACAGGAGAGGATCGGGTTGAATTTCCTGGTGTTCATCTGTCTAGGTTGTAAGTTATTTCTCCCTGATTAAACATCTATTCGGCCTATTTGTTTATCCTGATCCTTATTTACCGCAATAGCTCCCTGCAGATCTCTGTTGAGCATATTCTCCTGTTGGGGGATGTCCTTCGGTATATATGCTTCTCTTATTGGTTGATGAACAAAACACTGTTTGGCCCATAGCCACTTGGCAGGAAGACAGGCAGGACTAGGACATGAGGAGAATGCTGGGACATGGATGTGTTGAGAGGACATGGAAAGTTGCCATGTGGAGACCGGGAGAATAGGACGCACCCGATATTCTCTAGTAAGATAAGGCCATATTGAAATGCACAGATTAGTAGTTACAGTTTAATAATTAAGACAGAGCTAGCCAATAAGAAGCCCTAGCCATATGACAACAATTTAATAATTAGTTGTTGTATGTTTATTTAGGGCTAAAAAGGGCAGAGGGACCTGGCTGGGAAAAGAAAATGGCCAGCAACATCCTCCTTTAGTAACTGCCTTGTGGTCTAGATTCCTCTGTGCTCAAAACTGTTTTTCTTAAAGTTGAATAATGCAACAGGCTCTTCTTGCACCCCCACCTTGTGCACGTAGTGAAAGTGATAGACAGGACTTACAGGGATCATCTCACTTACTTCCTGTCTCGCAGCCATCACCTTGTTCTATCGTTATGATTCTAGAAATCATGATTTGCCTGGAAATCATGTTGTCTGGGAGGAAGGCAACGTGTTCACTCTACCTTGTCTCCAGGTATAATTTTTAAAGAAGTTTTCATGCAAATGGAAGGCCATCTCAGCTAAATGAAGAGAACTAAGAACAGAGGAAAGAGCTAGCCCCTTCTCCAGAACAGACTAAGATTCTAATACAGAAAAAAAGTAACTTATGCCCAATTTCATTTCAGACTCACTAAAGAATATGGACTGACAGTTTTCCTGACTTCCTTCCTTCCTTTTCAATGCCTGTGCCTACCACATTAACATATGCTTCTCACTGTTGCAGACTTGATAGCATATGTGTGTGGAGAAAGTGCAGATAATTTATCTCGTAAGCATACAGGTCTTCAGAATGAATGGAAAAACACTTGAATTGCTCTTTGTCTCCAGCTTGCTTTACATGACACTCTGAAGCATAATCCAAAGCCAGAAGCCCCACTGCAATGAGGATTTCATATGAGGATTTGAATATACTTTTTTTTTTTTTGCAGTTAAGAAATATAAATTTGTAGGCAGAGAACAAAAAGCAGTGAAGTAAAAATGGCCACACATTATTTCACATTTCTTCTATCAAAGGCAAGATTATGAGACCCCCCACTTTTGTGTTTGTTTTTGTGTTTTAAGACTGGGTCTCTCTATGTAGTCCTGGCTGTCACTACATAGACATGGCCAGCCTTGAACTCACAGATATCTATCTGCGTGACTCCTGAGTGTTAGGATTAAAGCTTGCACTACCATGCTTGGCCCTATCCCTCTTCTTAAATATAGGTAGGTTCTATGTCAAGTTTGACAAACATAATACGGAAATAAAAGTTGTATCAGTATCTGGGCTCTGCCACAACTCACTTCTTTAAGTTTTCTTTTGGAATACTAGTCTGGGGGAGTTTTAAGGAAGAGAAGAAATCCAACTATCCTGAAGATACCATGTACAGTGAAAATGATACCAAGATTCCCAGCTGTTCCCAGACACTAGATATGTAAGTAACAAAGCCACATAGAATATTCCACAGCCAGCATTTCCAGTAAAAAGAAACAGAAGTCCTCAATAAACAACTCGTCACCTCCAGATGTTTGAGCCACTAGCCAAGTAACTAGACATCATAAAGTAAAGGCAAGTATGTTGCACGAATAATAAAAACCAAGAGACAAATATTGGGGTCAACGCTGAAGATCAGAGCCACTAGATCTTACCTCTACCTCAGACTGAAAGGGGCAAACCTGTCTCCATGAATCCTCAGACTCACTCAGACTACATTTAGTTCCTGTCTTCTCCTGCCTTATATTCCTCTCTGCCCAGCCACAACACTCCTGTTTCCACCTCCTCAGTGTGGGGATTAAGGGCATGTCATCCCAAGTGATGGAATCAAGGTGTCAGCTCTGTTTCTGTTTTAGAATGATTCACTCTCATGTAGCCCAAGATGGCCTTGAACTTACAGAGATCCATCTGCCTCTGTCTCCTAAGTGTTGAGATCAAATGTATATACCACTACTGCCTGGCCTCTATGGCTAGGCTAACTCCTGTGTTTGCTGGGATTAAAGGTGTATGGCATCACTGCCTGACCTCTATGGCTGTGGCTAGCTTTGCACTCCGATCTTCAGGCAAGCTTTATTTGTTATATCACAGACAAAATATCACCACACAAATCATTGAAAGCCCCAACCATAGGTAGAAGATAATAGTTATTATGACAAATCACTGAGGTTTTGAGAAATTGATAGTGCATCAAGAAGTAACTGGAGTCAGGACAAAGAGGAATTAATTTCAGATACGGCTGCTACAGTTTCAGTAGAATTAAAGTAAAAAATACTCATATTTTTTGAACTATCAACATAACACAGCACTTTATAAACAAATGTTTTAACTCCCTGATTATAAAAATAAAAGTTTTAGTGTCATTTAAGACTTGATACAAAGCCAAGAGTTTGAAAACACTATATTACAGTCACACCTCTACTATATACACACATATACACTTAGATGTAATTCATGAGCACTGAAAATTAAAGCCATTAAGCTTTACCATTATTTATGAAATTTGAGAAGAACAAAAACAATTGCCTTTTGTAACATACAAGGAACATACATGGAAACAGTGACAGTCTGACATTAAAATATGTGCATAATGAGTTACTCTGGAACAACTTCACACTGGTAATAGGCACTAACATTTTATAATAAAATACCACAGTTTGATTTTTTTAAAAATATGTTTTAAAAAGTTACTACAATACATTTTATACAAACAGGTTTTCACAAGATCAAATGTTAAGGACAATAAAGCTTAAGTACTTTTAATCAAGTAGGAATAAAGAAATATTCCCTGGATACTTACATTATTTAATATTTGTGACAACATTAAAATCCAAGTACAATGATTTGGCTACAGATTTTAACTTTACATGAACGGCAAACAACTGAGAATTGTGTTTTGTAGAACAATTACTTATGACAACACCAAAATTCAGACTATTTAAAGGTCCCAAAATAAAAATAAGTCTGCAATTTTATATTTTTATTATCATTAAATTCTTTAATACTTTTCTTTAGCAAAGGTAATACATAGTGATAGTATATGCTACAAGTAAAAAATAAAAGAAAAAAAATAACTGTTCCATAAAACTATGAAAATAAATTTCACTTAGTACTGAATATATCTGGTTTTATTTAAAAAGAACAAAAGAAGCTAGGTGACAGACTCTACCTGGAATAAGACTCACTTTCTCTTGGAGCCATGCTACACCTCTGGAAACAAGTCCTTCTCTAGCATAGCCAAGTAATTTGGAACAGCCAGAAGTAGAAGACACAGAAAGGAAGGAGAACTGATAATCCTGAAACACCTGCACTTATTCCACATTCACCCAAACTAAATCCCCGGGAGCCTTGAGGAAGAAAACATCTTGACCTAACATGGATGTCAGTGATTAGAGTGCTATCTGCTGCTGCTTCCCGCAGGGGCCAAGGCAAAGTTGTTTGTAAATATAATAGACATACACTGAATGGAAATGACACATGCAGGGTACACTTAACAGCTTTTACTTTTGGTGACATCAAATGGTTTCCACCACTGAGCAAACTGCAATGCTTTCTTCCTCTGGTCCTCAAAGCTTTCTTTGATGCCCTTCCTCCACAGCCTAGGCTCCAGATCCAGCATACCACCAATGATTTCCTTGTAAAGAGTAAGAAGAATATAAATATATACATGTATAAACAATGTAATCACGAATGAAAATACTCATTTATTCTGCTATTACATATAATATTAAATTGTTCTTTGTGACAAGGTATACATATTACATATTTTTTTTTCAAGCAAAATAAACCTTATTTCCAATCTTATCTATAAACTCTATAATCCTTTGTGAGTCCTTGTGGTGTCTCTTGTGAAGCAATCTGTCTGTTTGCTTGCTCATTAGTATATCTATCTAATGGTAGCAAAAGGGAGGAAGAAAGTGAAATTTAATTTCCTTGCTCATAAAGATAACTAATATCTCAACAGAGAGCTCATAAGTGAATATGCAAATACAGTTAGACCCAGAATAATAAAGTCTCAGCTATACAGTGTGAAATGGGAGCTGGCAAAGATCATAAGACATTTAAAACAAACAAATGTCCTATTTGTTGGATATATCAGAAAAGTGAACTGCACATCATTAAGAAAGTACTCTGTATATGGACAAACTCAGATTTAGTGCAAGAGTTTTCTGGCATCAGTCCATCTAAACAGTATAGTTCAAGACAGGGTAGTTTATGTGTCTGTCTGAAACTGTCTGAAACTATGTGACAGTGCAAGATGAGTCTCATTCTCTTACTGCAAAAGAGACAGCATTCCATTGTTCTGCGAGTAATTCTTGGGCAACAAGTCAAAGGAGGATCCAAAGTATTTCCTGAAAAGCATGCTCTGAGGCATGGGGATACTTCCCATTAAATCTTAAAAATGTATTATATAAACCACAATACATGAGTAATATTTGAAGGGGAGGCAATTCTTCCAGGAAAAATTTAAAAAGTTAAACAATGGGTCATAGTTGTGTCCTTTCCTCTACAAACAAAATTTTAAGACTATGAATCCAGAGCTCTAAACCGAAAGCTAAAAAACACTTAAAAATTTCTAGGTTTTGGGATTTTGTTTGTATTTTGTTTTTTATTTGTTGTTAATTCTGTAAAAAAAAATTCTGCAAACTTCTCAAATAAGGGATGGGATACAACTAAGTTGGTAGAGGGGTAAAAGCTGTGTGGGTTTGATCCCCAAGGCTATATAAAAACAGGCATGATGGTACAGTCCTGGAAATTTACATCAGGATGTGGAGGCAGGATAAGCAGCATTGCAAGGATACACTCAGCTATGTGGTGAGTTCAAGACATAGTGAGTTCTGGATTGAAACCAATGGAGCTCTGTTTTCTTTTGGCACATTCCAATTTCCCTGTAGAAGATTATCTCATGCAGATGAGAGTAGGGCAGGGGGGGAAGCAGGGTAGGCAATTATAGACTCTCAGCAGAGTTTATCAAGGCCCATCTCTGTAGAGGCACAAGCACATTGAGGTGATACGAGAAGGCCTGAGCTAGGCCCAGATGCATTTTTGCCAATTTCAATTGTTACATTAATTTCATGCCAGTTCCTGGGAAGAATTTAGATACTTAGTATATAGACCTCTAATTTAAGGAATATAGTCTTATGAAGGCATTTATTTTCCCCTGAAAGAAACTACTGGTAATCATATGATGGGATATTCTTATGTGCCCAGATCCTAACTAGGTGAAATGAGTTATTTATTTTTCCTAGACTATACCTTAACTACAATTGAAGAGCTAAAACCATTTATTCTCTGCATTAACCTGGAGTACCTGGGTTCTCTCACTAAGTATATAACCCTAGGGAAATCACACAATCTCTCTGCAATTTAGAGTTTTCCAATCTGCACAACAACTGTTAAAACAAAATCTAGATGATAGAGTTACTGTGAGTACTCGATTACTACTTGGACAGTAGATGTGCATACTGTAAGTAAGCCCTTAATAAACATTAGCAAATGTCACAACTTTTCAGAACAAAGCTGCCTGCCTCCAAAGTCAGGAAAATATTATAGTTACAGAGACTGAGCACACTGTCAAAAACTGTCTGTTTTTGACTCGATCATGAATATTTAATATTTATTGTTGCTTCCCACCCCCACCCTTCTCTGTCAAACTTGTATAGAAAACAATTCATCAAATTCTGTGATCCAAACTTTTTCCTTTCACACCCTTGTGAACGTTATTAACCAAACCACTAAACTCTAGTTTTATTAAATTTCTGAGTATACCTTTCCAAAGTAACGTGGAAATTTGTGTTGATCTTCAATGACATGGGCAAATCCTCCCTGAAGACCAAAGTCTACAGCAAAGTAAGGCAAGCCTCTGGGCACCTAAGTAAACAAACATATTACATATGAAGTAGGAAAGCTATGCCTTCTCCAATTCTCTGGCATGAGAGAATCAATCATCTATCAGGAGAATGTACACCAAACTTCCAATGACCTAACTTTCCAAGGAAAAAAATTACATTCTAATAGCCTTTCAGCCAGACAGAGCTTCATTAAGTCTAGCAATTCACAATCAAAACAAATACTCTTCTGTTCTTGGAGACAGTAGGAAAAAAAGTATTCAAATGTTTTTACAGAGCCAAGGAACAATTTTTCAATGATTACACAAATAAAAGTATATTTTGTTCATATTTTATTAGGAAGAGGGAGCTTAATCATATATTTGTGGCTGTGTTTACACACTTATAAAATCTTCAAAATGCAATTTCTTGCTTTCTTATTAGGCAGATTTTGTATTTTTGTAAGTTTTTCCTCTAAGTCCCAACTTTTATCACTACAAATTATCGAGGTTGGTCATATACAGTGAGTTTTCCCTCTAAATCCATCTCACAATCAACATGACTAATCTGGACTCTGGCCCACATATTACTACTTAAGTTCACACAATTGATATTAATTACCTAGGAAGGCACAACTTAGAGTATGTTGTACTATGTGGCAGGAACAGAGAAGTCCTCTTTAATCATTATAAATCAAATAAAATTACAGACAACAAAATGTTGTTCATTTAACAGGAAAAATAGGAGTTTAAAAAATCAGTCTAAAAAGTAGTATAAACATAAAAATATTGCTTCATGTATTTATATTTTTCTATAGTTATATACTTTTAGGTAATAGTCATGTACTAATAATTGAGAAAAATATAAAGAAAAAACAGAGAGACAGACAAGGCTTTAAGCTCATTTCTTATTCTTATGAATATGTAATATCAGACAAATCTGCAACATTTCAGTCTCAGGAGAAACAAGAAGCATTCTGAGGATGCTAAGCAATCTTAGCATATGAGCCTATTACTTTCATTTCTATCTCCTCTACAAGTGTGCTCTGTACAAAGTTATTCAATGACAATATGAAACAAGGCTCCATTGGACACTGCCAATGAACTACGTAACCAGGCATGCAGCATTCGATAACTTGAAATAAACATATGAAGCCAGCACTCTTCCTTTTTTCTTTATATTATACTCTGGTAGGCAGAATACTTGGTCATGATTATGTCAAAGCCCTGAGTATTCTACCCTGCATGGCAAAAGGAACATTAAAAATGTGAACAAGCTAAGAGCCTTGAAATGAAATGGTGATCCTAGGTTATTCACACGAGATAAATGAAATCATGAGTATAATTACAAAAAAAGAGTAGGCCTGAGTTATAAAGATGGACAGAATCCTAACTCTTCATTTTGAAGGCAGGAGAAGGCCACAAGCAATAGATACAGATATCTTCTATCAACTGAGAAGATAAGAGTGTCCTCTCTTTTTTCTAGAACTGATGGCAGAAGCCTATAGCCAAAGTCTCTCTGGAGGCTGAAGTAGGAAGGCTTTAAGTTCAAGGACTTGGCTATAAACAGTTCACTGGCTTGGGAGACCAGTGATCAAGTACTTAGTAAGAAAAATCAAAAGTATAGCTGGGAAAATGCTCAGTGGGAATGCACTTGTCTTACATGTCTGGCTTTTCAGTCTGGATTTCTCTCTCTGATTTCAATAGCAATGCCTAATTTCCTCAAAGTATCTACAACTCTGGTTAACTCAAGTTTCTCTTGAAAAACAGTTTTCTTACTTAAAAAGCAGTTAGCCCTAAATATTGACTATTTTCCACAAAATTCACCCTATCTTTTTAAAATTGACCAAGAATTTTCCTTAAATCTCAATGCAACAGCTTTGCTTTTAAAAAACAAAACAAAACAAAAACAAAACAACAACAAAACCAAAACAACAAACAGGGGCCCATTTTTCTTGAAAGATTTTTTTTTTGTTATCACATGACGCCTCAGCACTGAGCAGTCAGATCAGTTTACATCTTTTGTCTTAACCCTAATTCTAATACTGGGCTTGACATCACACTGCAAGAAATCTAAAGACCCTAGAAATGGGATACTTATACTCACATGGCAAAGAAAATTAGAAACTCCAAAGAATCAGAAGAAAGTACAAATACATGAACCTCTATTGAAGCCTATGAATGTACTTAGAGAAAAAGAAAAAAAAAATAAATAACCCAACTCCAAAGAAAAAAACAAAAACCTTTTGAAATGATTAAGGCCACAAAATATTCAGAAGAATGTTTTAAAGTCTCTCTGATATAAAATGTTAAAGTGACTCAGTATTTATTCACTTCATGTTCTGAAACACATCATTTTTAAAAGGCACTGGAATGTGTACTACCCTGAGAGGTGGCTCTTTTGGAATTCTTGTGGTATTAAGTTCTCCTCACTATTCCACCCAGATGGACATTAAAATGCACCATGAAGTTATCTGTCTTTTTCCCCATCTACTCCAACTTCTAAAGAGCCTGGGTGAAGGGGAGAATTATGAAGCCTTACTACTTCAAGGGTTTGATGCTAAAGAATGATGAATGACTCCACATCTGCTTGTTTTCCCTATCAGTTAAGTTTAGTAAGATCATCTATCTACTTAGTTCATGTATTAAGTCTAGGTTTCAGAACAGCAAGCTTAAGCACTAGATGGTCCACAAGACACACTTACAACAGCAATGTGGAATAATACATTTCTTTTAAAAATTTTCACTTGGAATACATTGACTGTCATTACAATTTTGAGTAAGAAATTATGACTTAAGGAACAAAATATATTAAACACTATTTTAATGAGCCAATAGGAGGAAGAGTAAAAACGTGAACAATACACTTAGGATTGGTTTTTTTTTCCCCCCCTTTAAAATTCTGGTTCAGTTTTCTAGGGAAGGAACAGAAAAAGACTGAAGATAAAACACTCTATGGTTGAGTTAAAACTGTACCTTAACTAGTTCTATTAAATACACACCTTTGGACTGATTATCAGTGTCTCAGGAAATGATAGCCATCCGTGTGTTTGGATTAGATGTCTGGCTTTCCAAAAGCAGAAATGGAGGGAACATATATATTCCAGTGGTATTTACTTGAACACCAGTGGCAAAACATTTGTGTAAAAAAGGCCTCATGCTGAAATACTTAGGGTTTATAGGTCACGAGTCTCTGGTAAACTATTGAACACTTAGCAGCATGAAAAGCCTCCAGAGGCAATAGTCAGGTTGAGTATGGATGTATTTTTAAAAACCTCAGTGTAGAGAACTGGGTTTGGCATGGGGGCTGAATTGATAGCCTGTAGTGTCAGCTGACAGCTAAATAAAGACAACCATCTTCTTTGTTCTGATTCATTACACATAGAGCATGCCCAGAATAGAGCTGGTAAACAGTGGGCATGCAATGAAAATTTACAGAATGAGTAATTTTTAAAGGGAATTCAAAAGCAATCTGTCTAGTAATTTCTATTGAATTCAATTTCTATTTCTACAAAAGAATAGTGACTATAGTAATTACTATATTGATCTAAAAGTTGATGTAAAATTCAAAACTGAACTATATATCCTTCAGCAAGTCCCCAAGAAAGTGGTAAACACATAATCTAAACCAACTACTATATTATAGGAATGGAGCAGGAAACTTCAATACAAAAAATAATTTGGGGGGTAAGGGAAATGGCTCAGCAGGTTCTTGCCACACAAGTGGAAGAACCTACTTGGGATCCCCAGAACCCAAAAAAGCTTGATGTGGCAGCACACATCCATAATCTCAGGATTCTTGTGGCAAGATTAAATGTAGAGACAAGAGAATTCATGGAGCTTTGTGTTAGTTGGCCTGGGGTATTCAGCAGCAAACAAAAGACCCTCTCTAAAACACAGTAGAAGACAGATGTGCGCACACACACATTTTTTTTTTTTTTTTTTAATGGAGGAGGAAGACAGCGGGGACAGAAAAACAGCGAGAGTGTTCTAAACTCAGAATGGAGCCTATATAGTTCATTTCATTAGAATACCAGTGACAAAAATGTCCTCTTGAGATGCAGTCACAGCAGAATATAATGGCCACCACAGCCAATTATGGTGAGAAAAAGGCAGGAGGCTGAACACCAGGAAGAAAGGTTTATTTGCACAAATAAAATCTCCTTACAAACAAATGAGCATTTTATAGACCAGTTATGCCTAATTTGCACACAAGAGGTAGACATTCACAAATTTCTTACATATAAAAATATCTTAATACTCACAGACTGTCTAACATTTTTTAAAGATAAATCAATTAACTTCTTATTCAGAGACCATTCTTCGTCAGATTCCATTATGGCTTTCTAAGAAACAACCAAACAAAAAAGAAAAAAATCAATAGAGTAGCAAACACAAAGAGACAGGTTAGTTTTTTGTTTTGTTTTGTTTTGTTTTCTGGATTTCTTTCTTTCTTTTGTGAATGCAGGTTTCACTCATATGACAGACTGTTGTTATGAATGAGTGAAAGCCTTAATTTGACAACTTATAACTAGAACTACTTAATGTTTTCAAGCCCAACTTTTAGTCAGAGACTATATTCTTTTACTCTTAATTCTATAGTGAGCAGCTCAACTTCATGTGACCAAAGGACATCCTTGAGAAGATTAAGCAATTTAAGATAAAACATCATCTGTGAATATAAAATTTCCCAAGTTTATATTGGCATTTATAATTATCTACTCAAATTCATTTAATGTTACTATTCTTCCAAACACAGAAGGAGTGTATACTATTTGTGGGTACCAAAAACTACTTCAGCTCATACAACTGGAAGTAAACATGTTGAGAAAAATCACTCTCAAAAAATAAAGTCTAATTTCTTAAAGTAGGGATATAAATACATACAAATGGAGTTTTAAGACTTTTTAAGTTAACAAGTATAAGTACTATTTATAATATGATCCTTTTCATTTTTTTTTCGGGCTACCATTAAGGAAATTAACATTTAACTAAATCCAATTTAAATATATCAAGTAGGCTGTTATTCCCTATTTACAACTGAAAGAAGTCACTTTTCTAGAGTTATGATTTGAAAGTGCCTCATGTTAAAACAATGATTTCACTAAAACATTAAAATAGAAACTATTAGTCACTATTGACAGATTATCTATACTTCTAAGAAAACCTCCTTAAATTAAAAAGTCCAAAATTCTTTATGTAGAAATGCTTTTAGAATAATTTACGCTTTAGCCCATTTCTTTATATAAAATTTGGCACACTACTACATATATTCCCTCAAAAACAAATGTAAAAAAAAAAAAAAAGAGTGTACACAAAAACTGCTTATAAATACCTTAAAATAGATAGGGGCCATATCACCCAGTTCCCTTGGAAGAGGGATACACTCATAAACCATATGGTAATGCTTCTTCATGCCCATATTATACTCTAAAAAGATGCAATCCAATCCTTTTTCTTCAAACATCTTTACCAATGAGTTCCTAAACATCTAGAGGAAGGGAAAAAATATGACAGACATATATTAAATAATTTGAGATGATCAATTGCATTGAAAGCAAAACTTTCTTCAAGCTCAATATAAAATTTGGATCTTTCTCATTTGCAATTTGTGGTTGTTCAAATATACTTTGATGAAAATATCTTTACATTTTTTGCCAAACATAAGATCCAAGGTCAAATCAAGTGTTATCAGGTATTTAAAAAGAAAATTACTGAAAAACACATCCTGCATTCAAACAATATTTTGCGTTTAGGCAAATGACATTCAAAGTATACCTAATAAACAGAACCACAAATAGAGAACTAGTTACCAGAGTATAATTAATTTGAGAGTCACACATATTTGAAAGTGAAATCAAAACACCATGCTTCTTCAGCTCCACTGGAACAGACATGTCAGCATGCCACTCTCCATTCATTCATGTGTAATCTCTAATGATGTTTTTACTAACACAAGAAGTATAATGACATTATTTACATACAATTTGGCTCTCCCCCCTCAATTTCTCATAATACCTCTGGTATTATGTACACAAACAAGAATGCAGCCGTAGTAGAAAACAGTATAGCTTTGGGTACAATTATCGATCTTTACCTCTTCATTTCCCACAGCACCTGAGATGTCATGTTCATGTGTCTACTTCCTAGTGGAGTGAATAAATGTTTTATCCACCTTGAGGCTTTTCACCACTTAATTCCGCACAGAAATATATAGCATACACACAAGGTTCTTGAAATAGAATACTCTTTGCACTGTATTTTATTGTAAGTTATATCAGTTTTTCCATAAAATTTTAAATATCCCTCAGAAAAGCCCTGTAATAATCCTAAAAACTAAATTACCTAGTGTTGCTAGGACACTGCAAATTTTTTCACATAAAAAATAACCTGTCTGTGTTGCTAATTATGCTTGGCATTAGACACAACAATGTAATTGCCCCATGAACTCTGGGAGCACCAACCTTAAAAAAAAAAAAAAAAAAAAAAAAAAAAGCAAAAGGAATAAAAGACTACATTTTCAAAATGCAGGCAAACAGGTCCTCTTTTGGCATCTTTATCCATGTTCTGCAAAAACTAACATATACTGTCATCTCTTTAAAAATCTTACCATTCCACAGTTTCTAACTTGGGTCCTCTGAAACCTCTACTCAGCTGAGATCACTTAAAATATTTTTTTCCCTTGGTCATTGTGAGATCTTGAAATAATTAAGCAACACTTCTACCCATGTTGTGCCTTTCAATCTCTCAAAGTATCAGCCATAAAACTGTATCACTGACTCATACACCTGACCACATTGGCAGAGTATGCTGTGAAGGGAACCAGACTTGTGTGGTAGAACACTCACTATAGGCAGAGGGCAAGCAAACAGTAGCCTTGCTTATATAACCCTAAACCCAAATATTCTTATTCTTCGAAAAAAAATTTTTTTGCTACAATGTAATTCCAAACACAATTGATTTTTTTTAAAGAAATTACTTTGCAAGTTTTACTTAGCAAGTTTACTTAGTAAACAAAAGATTTTTAAACAAGGAGAATGTGAGGAAAATAAAAATAGTGAGAGATGAAACATGAAAATCTACAGCCACCTACAAGTTGTCAAATAAAGATATCAAACTTGGAATGATATATTATTTATGATTTAATAAAGCTTGCCTGAAGATCAGAATGGAAAGCTAGCCACAGGCATAGAATCCAGTCAGTGATGGCACACACCCTTAATCCCAGGACTCAAGAGATGGATCTCTGTGAGTTCAAGGTCATCCTGGGCTTCATGAGAGTGAATCAGTCCAAAAGAGAAATGGAGCTCATGCCTTTAATCCCAGCACTAAAGAGTATATAAGGAGCTCAGTGCAGTCTCATAGAATAGTCTAGGATTCTGAGGCTTAGTGGACATCAGTATAGTCTGGAGGTGCAACCTGAAGTTTGGTAAATTACCCCTTGAATCTGAGCATTGGTAGAGATGAGAGCTCTCTGGTGGCTTGGCCACTTTGCTTCTCTGATCTTCAGTGGTTTTATTAGATCATAAACAATATATCACCACAATTCCCCTTATAGGCAAAGGGTCTCATGGGAGATTAGTTTCCAGACACAGAGAAGACAGATTATCTCTATTTCAGCCTTGGTAGATGTAAAAGCTACTGGCTGGCTGCTTTGCTTTTCTGATCTTCAGGCAAGTTTTCATAAATAATATATTACCACAAAACTGTTTGAATTTATTAAAATAATCTGTAAAACCTCCTTATGAGACTTACAGACAATAAGCATGACAGTACTGACCTGAATCTCCTCCCAGATATCTTCATCCAACATAGTAGCTGCTTGAAGATGCTGCAGAGGGACTATGAGGCAGTGGCCCTCAGTAAGAGACCGGAAGTTGGGTAAACATAAATAAACCTAGGGGAAAATTCCAATGATGATATGTTACTTAGCCATGGCTATAAGAGATGAGACTATAGCAGTAAAATCATGAGTATTTAATAAGGCAGACTTCCTTATAAGAAGTAGTTTCATTTTAGTACTCTCAAAGATACTATTAACATTTAAAATGCAAGAAAACGTCTTCTAATAAACTGGTAACTTAGAACACAAGTCTCAGTTTTCATTGATAAACACCAAAACTCAGATTTTCCAAGAATAAGCAAAAACAAATGCTACTTAAATGCTACTTGATCTTTTATCTGAGGGAGCTATATACTTACAAATACTGAAAACAAGACAGGCTTTGAAAAATAAGAGACACAATGTAAATCTTATAAATGACATTTCCTGGAAGAACTGCCCCTTACCCTGTTTAGAGCTAATGAACCAGCCAGAGATCCAGTTGTTGTAGAGTCTGCAGTGGTGCATGTCAAGAACCAAGTTACCCTGAGCTAATATTTACTACCCCCTTACTAACTATTTATTGCTCTCCAATGTGTTCAGCCTAACATCCCTATGACCAGCAGATAAATCTTCCACAGTGTATAATAGAACACTAACTTCTATGAACCAAAAAGCTAAGAAGTTTCAGACTGCTAAGATTTCCTGGCTGTTCTATAACTTACCCACCTATTGTTTTCACTAATATATATGAAAAGCATCTTGGTGGGCTTTTTACTTGTTATTCTAAAGACATTAAGAAATTGTTACCACACTGAAACATGGCTCTTGGGATGACCTAAATCAGTGTTTGTTGGCTCTAGAATATACCATCTTTGTTTCTTTGTGTTGTTGATAGTTTAAATTATGTGTATCAATCAGGCAATTTCTCTCATTATGGAAGAAAATTGAGTTAACCCAGCTAAGGGAAAGGAAACATGTGTAGCATAGTTTTACCTCTCTGGTTAAACTCTGTATATGTGCATATCTGTATCACCTATAACCCAGAGCTATTTTTTTTTTATTATATGAAAGGATGTATTCATACATATGTGAATGATGAAAAAGACAATAAATATGAATGTTCCCCAAACTATTAGTTCCTGAAACCAGAACTTATTCATTTAGCCACAGCTGTCCATTCTCTGTTAATCCACTCCAATCTTTTAAAAAACAAAAAACAAAGAAACAAAAATCCAGTGTATTTTTCTGTGTTCCTGGAGTTCTCTCTAGACCAGGCTGGCCTCAATTTGAGAGATCTCCTTGCTCTGCCTCCCAAACGCAGGGATTAAAGGAGTGCCATGTCAAACTTCTTTCTTTTTCCTGTTCCCTGTCAAGGCTTTTCATTCACATGTGCCTCAGATAAGACTTCTAGAACACCTTTTCAAATTAATGTCTTCCACGATTTTGTCCCTCATTTTACAACAATAACCTTCTGAACTGGGGTAATGTTTAATTTGCTTATTTCAATAGAACACAAGCTTCAGAAGTGTAACTGCCTAGAGCACTTGCCTAGATGAAGCTCTAAATTCAAATCTTAATACTGCTCCAAACTTTAAATGATTAAACTTTTTTAAAAAATCTTTTCTAAGTCTACCTGACCCTTCTCTTTTCCATGGCAATAGAATTTGGCACCTATCACATTCACAACCTTATTTACACAATGTAAAAAATAGTCATCAATACATATTTATTGAATAAGTGACTCAGATATCCTATGAAGATAAGATGCTTGGAATACAATGTGAGCAAAGGTTATCTCTGTATTCCTGAAACTGTAAGACTTGGTGCAGGGACCCAATCAACAAGACAAAGTAACTTCAATTAGTTTTCAAAGTCTACGAATAATCAAATACACTCTATGAGGGAGTAATTAAGAAATGAAAACAGCTTTAGACTTAGACTCTGAGGGAGATTTTAATGATGGATTCAATTCAATCATTAGGTCATAGAGCTAGAAAACAGGAGAGCCAGAATTTGATTCTCAACAGAATAGAATCACCAGCAACAGGGGTTGAAACAAAGAAACACTGATAAGTAGTCCATCAAAGACCCTAAGACCTGTGATAACTTAGAGAACAAAAACATTTGAAAAATCAGAGTAAGGAAAAATTTCAAAAATTGTCTTAAACTTTGGAGTGAGCAAATCTGCATATACTACCTGACCTTTACTTTGTCTGTGAGTGTTTTATTTCTTACCTTCACCCCGATGGCAACAATAAGGTGCTTGGGGAACTGAGAGCTATCAAAACAGTATAGACAGTTGGTCATCTGTGTGGCGAGACTCTGATGTTCGGCAATTGCTTTCCTCCTCTGGCATTCTTCCTTTTCACCAATACGCTCTTTTTCAGCTGCTTTGGAGACAAACATGTCATCCAGAGTATAATGATCATCATCTGGTTTTCCCATGAACTGAAAAATAAAAATAATGATAGTAGGAGACAGAAGGTGGCAGTTAATATTTTTTTGAGTAATGGCATCCTAAAGTCCTATAAACAGCATGGCATAACCTATAATTTTTAATGATTAAATGTCAGCTTGGGATAAAAAAAAATTCAATACATATATCATTACTGAGGACACCAGCAACACTGCCACAGCTAAAGTCACTGAATCTTTACTAATTCATGCCATTTAAGTATTTTTCCACTGCTATGATATGGAAGCCATTATTATAGTCACTTAAGATGAAAGGAAACAAAATTGCAGAGGTCAAGCTACTTGAAAACTTAGTACATACAATATATAAAAAGTAAATATTGTTCTGTTTGACCTCTACTTCTCTAACTTTGTTCCAACATTTGGACAGACACAACACACAAATTTTATATCCCTACTTGAAGTCCTTAAAGAGCTCAATATTGTGTGTAAGGCCAAATACTTTCTAAGTATAGCCTAGAAAATGCTAGATATATAAAACTGTAGCAATTAGAAACTGCTAATATAACCATAGTAAAAGTCTATCCACTCCTTATTTAACCTTGAGGTTCCTAGAAGAATTCCTGTACTGTCTCAATTCCTTACTTTACATAATTTGTCTTCTTGGGTTATCCCTACAACACATAAGTGGTACAAGGTAAAGACTCATAACCTAAAGCAACAGTTCTCATAGCAAAGCTTTTCATAATCCAGCATTAATGATCTCTCCTAACACATCTGGCCATACCTATTCTCTCTATATTCTAGCAAGTGTTAGCCTTCCAAGGAACTCACTGTTGCCTTCCACTTTGCACATGCTTTCTGACCTATTCTCTCCATATTGCCATTTTTCAGCTGTAGCTTTAGACTCAGTTGTCACCCCAAAAAGTTATTTCCTTGATTATTCAAACCCCTCTGAAGTATTACCATCAGTCTCATAATGACTACACTGTATTAAGTGTTCACTGGCTTGTTTTTCCTTGTACAAAATTATTTTCTACTCAATCTACTAGTCTCACCCTCTCCCCTTTAAAAAAGGAGAAAAACTACTTAAACACAAAATACAAAGCAATAACAAGATACTTATATCTTAGCAGAATTTTAAAAATAATTTAATCACAGAGTAGCTCAACTTAAGTAAACATCTCTATTTCTAATGAAAGATTATGAAAGATAAAAATGCTGGTTCTCATGCTTTAATTCAAAGGCTTTAAATCAGAAGCAGGCAGGTCTCTGTGAGTCAACACAGTGAGTTTCAAGTCAGCAAGGGTACACAGTAAGACCCAGTCTCTAAAAGGAAAAAAACAAACAAAAACAAAACAAAACAACAACAACAACAAAAACGAAACATTTCAAGATGCAAAATTCTTAAAATTTATGTACCCAATAACAGAATTTCAAAATATACAATGCAAAAGGTCAGTGCTACAGAACAAATATAATACACAATCCAGAGATTTAGATATCACTTTATAATTGCTGGAATAAGTAGAAAATCAAGAGACACAAAGGAGACTTTAATAGGCTATGACGCAATATGCCCTAATTAACACTGACAGAGGTTCCATTTGACAAGAGAATGAATGTTTTTCCACATGTGCAGAATGTTCACCAAGACAGATAACATTCTGGGCCACAAAGAAATCTCAATCATTTTTAAGGAGTCTAGAATGTAAAGAGAAATATCTTTGGAATAACTGCCAAGTTTTAAGACTACATGTAACACATTTTTGTTATTTTCTAAGAGTCTCACTATGTAGCTCAAGCTGCCCTCAAACTCCTCATATTCTTGTCCTGATAGTTGAGTTGAGTTGTCTGACAACTGAGCTAAAGGGTGTTTGGCACATATATGAGATTCTTCCCCTTAAGAACCCAACGTCTCAAGTATATCATCAAATACTGGAAATACATTCTACAAAACAGAAGAGTTAGAAGAAAACAAAATTTCCTCTACAATAAATGAACCAAACAGTGTGAAGTTATTTTACTAAAAGGAGTAGAGATTTAGTGGGAGTTTGTTTTATATATAGTATACTAAAACAACACAGTACATGCTTCCACACATAAAATCATGCCCTTATTAAATATAGTGCACTCTTCATATATTATTAAAGGAGATATTTATTTGCTATATATAAAAGTTATACAGATGCTTCCAATCTTTTCTAATTTATTTCTAGTGTTTGAACTGATTCTGGTATAGACTAGCAAGTGAAAATGATTCTACAACAGAACTGTAACATGGCTCTGCTTATCTGAGAATGGGATTTATGATCCCCTCCTCCTATACATCATTTTCTGGACTTCTTCATATTATCTTTGAATGTGCTTGAAAATGTTCTGAACTTATCAGTTATATATACATCCTCTACAACTTTATGCCTATTATACTGTCATACTTGGCATAAATAAACAATATTTTTATTGAGTATTCTTTTAACAGGTAGTAGAAAATATTTTATACTTAGAGAAAGAAAAGCCACTGTAGTATTAGAGAAGTGGAGATAAAGAAGGAAAATGGGCAGGAAAATAAACTCCATCATTTAGACAAAATGTTAAAGGAAGACAACTACGCAATAATCTAAAACAGTACACCACAAATCTGAAAACTTGGAGAACCTCTATGGCAAATATCAAGAAAAAAAATGTGTTACAGTGAGTAAAAAAAGTAAAAGAAAGAAGACTTTTAAAAGGAAAGAACATGTTAACATTACCTAAGGTACCATACAGATACAAGGAATTTCCTACTATAAGGTCAATGGTATTTATGGTAGAAGCAGATCAAAATGGAAAACAAAATCTGTCTTGGTCTGATAACAAGCAAAAGAACTCACAGCTTGATGACTCCCAAACTGGGCTCACATTGACACTGTGTCAAAACAAACAATCCCAAACCCAACCAACAACAAATTACCATCCTAAAAATCCCATGGATTCTCAATGAATCCAAATAGCTAAAGTAATCCTGAAAAGCAAAAGTGTAGACATGCAGAATGCATATTTGTTGATTTTAAAACTTGTTATGAACTACAGGAGTTAAAACACTACAGTAATGGCAGAAACAAAGATAGGCAGACAAATGGGGCCAAATATGGAGGCCAATATTTAAAACACATTTAAAATATACATACATGGTCAAATAAAAACATGCACAGAAAACACACACACACAAACACACGCACAGAATCAAGTAAACACACATTGTCAACTAAATACATGTAAACATGGTCAAATGACTTTGCACAAGGGTATCAAAATCTCTCTCTAGCCCTCAGAGTTTATTTTTAAAGAATGCTGAAGTAAATATAATGCATTTTAAGAAAGAGAAAAGCATATACAACTTATCATCAAATACCAATAAATGGCACATGCAAACTAGTCAAAGATAATTAAATCTAGGCAGCAAGCAACAATTATTTAATATGAATCATACAAAGTCATTCAATAAAGGAAATTGGTTTATGATACTTCAGTCTGCCACTCAAGAATTTTAAGAACTAGGAAAGTTATCAAACCTTGCAAATTCCATTTAGCTTGTTGAGATTGTTTTCCCTTTTGCAAACATAAAAGGTTAAATAAGGTTAGTGTGGTTGAGGTCTGTTCTGTCCTATGATCTCAAAGGAAGACAATATATCTATTAGAGACGAGACCATAGTAGGCATATGGTTTATATAAAATAGAAAAATAAGCAGATAATTCTTTCCCTGGGTTTTTTTCTGATATCCATCCCCTCTATTAACTAATTATATAGAACATCTTCAGAAAAACAAAACATAAAACTAAGAGATATAAAAATAATATTTTAGAAACAATAATCATGACCCCCGATGCAAACAAAACCAGGCTCATATTTGTTTACAACGGCAATATTTGTAAAGTTGTAATGATAAAACACAATTGAAAAGAAGTGACTATAACCTATATATCAAGAAAGAGACAGTAAAAATTAGATGAATTGATATAAAATAAGAACAACAAAAGTAAAAAGTATATCAAGAACAAGATTAGGCCATCCAAGTATTGGTTATACAAGACTTCATTTGGTATTCACAGCAATTTACATATACACACACAATTACTGAGCTCACTTTTCATGGTTCTGTATCCAATACTTCTTTTTCTATCAGCCAATCAGCTACATAAACAAAAGGCATATGGCCAGCAGTGCTAGTGTGATTGCTGCAATACTCTTACAGGATGGCATTACCACCTATGCAAGGATTTCTGGTTGTTTCTCTCCAGGCCCAAGACCTGTTTTCAGAAAAACTACTAAATAAGGGAAATATCAACCAAAGCCCATCATAAAACAACCAGTATTCAGGAGTAATAAACTCACAGGCCACATAGGGCTAGCCATGTCTCCTCTCACCAAAATAATAATTAATAATAATAACTGAAATGCAGCCACACATTTATTTTCATACCGCATACGTTTCCTCTGTGCTGTCACAAGAGAGCTGAATATAATACAGAAAGCCAAAACTATTTATTTGGTTCTTTATAGAAAAGTTTGGTGTCTGTCCTGGATTAACACCTTTCAACTAATAACAAGAAGAAACACAGGCTAATGAGTTTTTGTAGTTTCTTCATGAAAATATTTAATACTAATAATACTATAAATAATACTATTTTTAAGAATGTAACTCAGTTTTTAATTCATAAAGTTTGAATAGTAAAAAGATTAAAAATAGTATTTATTATAAATGCTGCATTTCTTACTCTTTTACACATATAGTGTTACACCAAATTTTTGCCAGATTTAATTTTGACTAATAAAAGCACAAAAAAATTTATTCCTATGCTGATGTCACCATGCTAAACCAACAGTTCCATAGCAACCTGTATCTCCTCAACTTTGCCACAAATTGGAACCACTGCTGTATCCACCTCTGTTGTTTTATGAGAAGTTGCCTACTTTCTCACTGTCACTATCAAACACAAATGAGTCTTCACTCCACACCCCAAGAGTGAAAACTCATTTCAAGAAAAAGGGTTGTCGCTGTTTCCATCTCCCTGAGAAGCTCCAACATCTCCACTAACAGAAGAAACAAGTACAGAGCAACACTTGGACCAAAATGCTACAAGAACACTACTACAAATTCAAGTCTATAGCTTAGTCAACCAGCAATTGTAGGATCAATGCTGGTTGATTGTGTTTTAGTTGTACACAAGTCTTGTGTGTAGTTTAAATAAATAGTATCGGAGCTGGTTTATTAGGAAATACCCAAGTCACTTACAGACAAAAACATACAAGGTGGAGGGGTAGGTGGTGGTGGTGCATGCCTTTAATCACAGCACTTAGGAGGCAGAGGGAGATGGTTCTCTGTGAGTTTCAGGCCAGCCTGGTCTACAGACAGAGTTTCATGACAGTCAAGACTACACAGAGAAACTCTGTTTCAAAAAACAGGAAAAAAAAAAATCTAAAAATCAAAAGAAACAACAAAAACATGGGGAGATGTGAATGAAATATTGGGTACTGGAGGAAGCTTCCTCCTAAGTAGATATAATAAAGATAATAGGACAGGCTGGCAAGTTAAGAAACAATACATTCCCAACCACTAAACTCAAACATGACAGTGGGGGGTACTACAGCAAGAGACTCACACATTTGAAGTTTACATAGGCAATGTCGCACAATCCTATCCAACCCAAAACTGAGCAAACCTGTATCTACACTTAAAAAATAACAAAAAAAGCACTAGACAGGGAATCAGATCTATTTTCTCACTCATCATAGAAGCTTCCTCCTACAACACATAGGAACTACCACAGTGACTCCAAACTAGAGAGTGTTCTGAGAGAGCTCAGACCACTCAGTTCTAAATGTGACATCTTCATCAAATTCCCGCCTTCAAGGCGTAGGGAGCTACGCAGAAGAGAAGAGAGAAAGATTGTAAGAGCTAGTAGAGATGCAAAGCACCAAGGAAACAGCGCCTTCCAGGCACAACAGGGCTGACACATAGATGAACTCACAGAGACTGTATTAGCATTGAGAGTCTGAACAGATCTAAACCATATGGGGTTCCAGCATTAAGAGGGAAAGTGAACATGAACCCCCAACCCTATCCCAGAAGCTATCTTAAAGTGTGTCAACTGATAGCAAGGTAAAATTAGTTTTCTCCAATTGAGTTTCACTGGGTGTACAAACCACACTTAAAGGATGGCCCATGCCTGGTAGTAGATGACAAACACATAACCAACTCAAATGATATTTTTGGAGACTTTTTGTCTCTTCATGCTTTATTTGGACATATTTTAACTCCACTGGTCTTTGTATATCAAAGTTTTTGACTTTGTGTTTCTATGGAGGGTACGTGTATATGAGTGAGGGCAGACATGTTTCTCCTGCTTCTTTTTTTGTTTATTTAATTTTAGTTTGTCTGTTTTTTAGAGAGAAATAAAGAGGGCATGGAGTTAGATGGGATGGGGAGGTGGAGAAAATCTGGGAGAAGATGGAGGGGAACGTTCATCAAAATATGTTTTATGAAAAAATTTTTCAACTAAAATATTGGGGGAAAATCACAAATTTTGCCTTAATATTTTTCTGATGTACCATATAAAGTTCAATTTAATCAAATATTTGAAGATTAGAGATGATCAGACCCACTGTTGGACTGATGAATCGGTTTCTCAAAATGCAAAAGTTTATTGGGCCTCTATCTTACCTTGGATGCCATTCTCATGAAAAGTCTGTTTTGATCAATATCTGTTCTCATTTTCTCATTCTTGACTAAATCACTGAGACTCAAATGATCATCATCAGGAAAGTATCGGATTCTTTCTTTATCCTCATGAGTTGAAACCTATAGTAAAGTGAACATAATGAAGTATCTGCCGATGTTTTCAATGGTACCATAAACCTAGGAATGTTTAAAAAAAAAAAAGCAGCAAAACACCACACGTCACAATTGTCCCTTCCATGTGAAAGAAAGCCCACCGAAAGAAAGCCTACGAGAGTTATACTTATTCCCCTCTCCTGTCTTCCTTCCCAGGAAGAAGCAACCCATTAGCTGATTGCCAAATTTGGTGAAAGATTGCAACTGTTCTATCCTGTCTTCTGCTCTCCATGCACTTAAAATTCCTTACCATGGTGGAAGGAAGACTATTGTTATTCAAGCAGGAAATAAGCATAAGAAAAAGAAAAAAATCCAACAAAACAAACAAAAACAGAGGTAAACTACTATGGGCCTACTGTTTGTGTCCATTTCCTCACTCATATGTTACGAGGAGTCAGAACTTGGGAGAAGTAACCAGGTAATAAGGTGGAGCCCTGTGAGTAAGATCAGTATCTTATAAAGACAGGAGAGCACCTGTTCTGTCTCTGCTCTCTACTATATGAGACCAAAATGAGAAAGCATCTCTGTAAACTCAGATGTTAAACCTGACAGTCATTTGGGATTCTCAGTCTCCAGGCTACCAATCTGACATGTGGTTCTAGTTGCCAGACTGATAAAATACTTATTTCTAACCACTAATTTGTTCTATAAACAGCTTTATCAAAAACAAAGCTGGTAATCTTAGACCATATAATTCAGCCCAGGGTTTTCCTCTCAGTTGGTTCCATATCAACATGAAAATCACAAAGTACTATTTATTTTGTCCATAGTCCAACCACTCATTTCAGTGTCTAAATAAAACCCACCATTTAACTTCTTTAAGATACCTAACTCTGATTTTAATCCCTTGTTTACATTGTTCAGTTGTATGCAACTTAAAAGGGCTTCGATGGTATCTGATAATATGTTTATGGATTTCTAGTCAGTCTGCCTTTTTATATATTCAAACCTTTATTTTTCTCCATATCTCTCCAGCTTGCCCATTACACTGGCATATCAATCTGATTTCTATTGATTGAAAGACTTAATCAGTATCTATAGCAGGATAGTCACTCAACAGGCCAACAACCAATGTTTCACAGAAAATCCCCAAGTAATTATTTGTATAATCAGTTATCATTTACATGATGTTCACATGTAAAACAAAAACCTAAGTTCGGGAAATGAAGGTAATGTTTATGTCACCTTTCCATGTTCAAGGAAGTGATAAAAATTAATTACCAGAGGTAAAAGACAGAAAAGAAAATACGGCATTCAAAAGCTCATAGCCCCTATAGAATTAAGACATTACTGTGCATAACACCCCACTGTCAGACCTAAAACTAGGTGTTGACAAAGATAACAGGTTTAGGAGGTCAAGCTTTTCTACGTTCAATCTGGTAAATATGCAAAAGAAAGTGAATACAATGTCAAAGAAATGTACACTAAAATTAAAGTTGCAGTAAGCCTTCCGTGTTCTGTCACTTGAAAAGACACAGCTGAATAGTTTGCCATTTGTAAAAGGCAAAAAAAGATATAACTAAGAATAAAAGTGAAAATTTGTTATTTTCCAATGTTTTCATTTTTTAAAAAATCTAGTTTAATGCAAACGGAACTCAAAAGAGAAAAAAAGAATTCTGAATTAGTAAGTGGAAGCATATTTCACACATACTTTTTGTCTCTTCCTTCTTTTTGCTTTCACATCCAGGGTCTCTCTGGGGATGTTGACAGGCCACGTTCTTCCATACTCATCTGTTCTAGTAAGAATCACTTCTTCATCTTCATGCTACAAAAAGGGTTAGTTAATATTTGAAATATTTCAAATGTTAAATGTCCAGAGTTAACGACAACAAATTACAGAAAAGATTCTACTTTTGATAAGACTATCTTTAGATCTTTATCACTCACTGTAAAGTAACCATAACAGAAAGAGGGGAAGAGACCCAAAATTCATTTTAGTATTTTAATAATTTAACTACTGAGGCAACCTTCAAATAGTTCTCTTACTGTTTTTAATTGGGCATAACAGGGGTTGAGCCTAAGATCTCATGCATAATACTAACCATCCACAATGAACTATATCTCAACACTCTTATCTCTCTCTTTTTAGAAGATTCTGAGATATTGTCTTACTAAATGGTCCAAAGTGGCCTTGAATTCACTCCATATCCACACTGTCTCTGAATTTGCTATATCCCCACCTTCTCCCAAATGGCTAAGAACCCAGGCCTAAGTCATAGGCCCAAGTGTAAATAGTTTCATCCAAGTATCATCCTACTACAGGATGATAAAGAGAGAAAAAAGATGGTGGTGTTTGCCACAGTGGTCCACGTCAGTGTCTGTGGTCCATGTTGCCTACAGACATCAAGTTAGGGCATGCTATCCCTGCTGCAACCTGGGGCAACATTTGTTTAGTGATTAGCTGTGGATGTCTGCTTCTGTTTCAAACAGCTACTACATGAAGGTTCTAGGATGGCATATAAGTTAGTTATCAATCTCATTATCAGGGAAGGGCATTTAAGGTAGCCTCTCCACTATTGCCCAGATTGTTAATTGGGGTCATCCTTGTAGGTCTCTGGACATTTCTCTAGAGTCAGTTTTCTTTTCAAACCAATAATGCCTCCCTCTATTATTGTATCTTTTTTTTTTTTTTTTTTTTTTTTGTCTCATCTACTTATTCATCCTCTGACTCAATCTTCCTGGTCCCACATGTTCTCCTCTCCTCCCCTTCTCTTTCTCCTAACTCCCTCTCCACTCACTGCCCCACTTCAATATCTAGAAAAATGTCCAGAGACCTACGAGGATGACCCGAACTAACAATCTTAGCAACAGTGGAGAGGCTATCTTAATTGCCCTTTCCTAATAATGAGATTGATACCTAACTTATATGCCATCATAGAGCCCTTACCTAGTAACTGATGAAAACAGAAGCAGACAGCCATAGCTAAAACTGAGTTGAACTCCTGGAATCCAGTTGCAGAGTGATAAGAAAAGGGTCAAGACCAGGCTGGAGAAACCCACAGAGACAGCTAACCTGAAGAAGCAGGAGCTCATGGATCCTGAGACTTATAGCTGGGAAACCTGATTTGTACCGACTCAGACCTCCTGAAAATGGGTCTCAGTTAGAAGGCCTGGGCAGTTTAAGGGACCTCTGACAGTGGAACCAGAATGTATCCCTGGTGCAAGAAAGGACTTTGGGAGCTCATTCCCCATGGAGGGATACTCCCTTAACCTAGAGGCGGGAGGGAGAGCCTAGACCCTACTCCAAATGACTTGACAGATGATTCCTCCTGGAAGGCATCTCCATCCCTGTGGAGTGGTGGGGAAATGGGATTGGAGGGGAGTTGGGTGGCATGAGAGGGAGAGAGGGAGAGGTAATTGGGTTTGATATGTAAAATAAGAAAAAAATAATAACTATATAAACAAAAAAGAAAAAAAAAAGCTTTCCATTTCCTAGGAATTCCAAATGCTACAAATGAACAATCACAGTTCACCCTGCAAATTTTTTTACAAACACTGATTTTTTACAAACACTGAAACTGAATGTTTCATTATATACATTTTATATGGCTATTGTTATAAAGAAATCTCAAAATGATTTAGTCCAATTCATTCATTATCTATAAGACAGCCTTATGGTGGACAGAAACTATAAATTCTCATTTTAAAGAAAAGAGGAGAAAATAAAACACTTTTTATTAAGTTATAAAGTTCACTTCGTGATATAGACGGGGATGAACATTCCCCACTGGAATCTAAAATTGGGACAAAAATCTAAAATAGCTGTGGGAAAGCAAACACTATCATCCCAAAAAAGTATTATCAATTATATACTAAGAAAGGTCAGTATTTGCCTAAAAAACAAACAAACAAACAAACAAACAAACAACAAAAAACAAAAAAACCAAAAAGCAAAAAACTGCACCTCCAAATCTAATCTAATAGTTCATTTCCAGTCACCCAACAGGTATTTAAAATTCTTTCGCACTCTTCTGGAATAGGATGTATAAACTTCTGAGACACACCATCACTAACTTTCCATTGTCCCTACATCCCTCTCAAATGCAAGTTCTAGACAGGTAAGTATTTTTGTCTATTTCAATCAATACTAAGTAAATGAACAAACCATATACAACGTGATTTGCCTTATCCTAAATGAGCATCTAACTCAAGTCATTCTTCTGTCGGGAAAGAAGTTAAGGACATCAAGCACAGAATTTAGAATAAAAGATGATTTCCTGACCAGAGGACGAGGCTTTCATCTAGGAATGCTAGTAAAATTTACATCTAAAATTACAATATCACTGTTGTAGCATAATGACATTAAAATAAGTAATAATATGCATACAAACAAACTTATTACTTGCCTCTACTCCAGATCTTTTTGTTGATATCTGTGTTGTGGTTTCTTTAAATTTATTTGCCTCTTTAAGTTGGGCTTTAAGTTGTTCAGCTAATTCCTTCAAAAGGAAAAATTATGTAGGTTAATTGTGATTCTAAATTCCTCAGTACACAATACTTCAAAGCTATAAAACAGAAACAATTTAACAAAAATGCCTACAGACAATAGCTAAGTTCACAACTAACCAACATTAATTTTAATGAATTAAACTGAATGAGTTTGTTACAAATTTCTCAAGTACTGAGATCATGTGTTTATTATTTAAAGTGAATAACTTCAAGAAACTATACTTTGAAAGGGGTAGGAAAGTAGAAAAACTACATAGCATCAAGAATCATACTTTTGCAATTTCTTAGGTATTACAAATGTCCAATAACAACATTAGTTATTTATCATAGGAAGACAAAGAAATTTATTTTCATAATTTTTTTATGAGAAATTTACACAAAAACTGTATTTCATTATTCTAAGAACTCTGGGGATTTACATAAAACAAGCAATAAATCATAAAGAGATATGTTATTCATATGACAAAAAAGTAGCATGCTAATCTGATATTTTTCTGTGAAAAACAAAACACTTCTTTAAATGTAATTTAAAGTTTCAGGCAACCATTCCACTATTTTCACTGTTCCTCTGTGCTTTCAAATATTAAACTTCACTTTGTTATTATAATTATTTGTTAATTATGATTACTAATTTGTAAGTTGAGATGTATTTCAGTGATTAGCAAAACCATGTTCAAAGAAACAGAGGCCATACACACAGTCTACAACAGAATTAGAAACTGATCTTCCTTACCTGCCTCTCGTACTTTAACGAGCATTGGTTGTACACTAGAACACAATATTTAAAGAACATCCACTTTTGAATTTAAAACAAACCCATGAATTTACTATTTTGGAAGATATGGTAAATAAACAGATGACTGAGTAGGACCTACCAAATTATCTCTATTTATTTTATGCAAACTGATCTTAACTCATAATTTATTTATTTATTTATTTACTTTTTCAAGACAGGGTTTCTCTGTATTGGTTTGGAACCTGTCCTGGAATTAGCTCTGTAGATGAGGCTGGAACTCACAGAGATCTGCCTGCCTTTGCCTCCCGAGTGCTGGGATTAAAGGTGTTGGCCACTAATGCCCGGCTTAGGTTCTTTTTAAAACATTTTAAATTTATTGTTGAATGTATCACAGTCTAAGTGTGGAGGTCAGAGCACAACTTGCAATAATAGGTTCTACTATGTGGGTTGCAAAGATCTAACGCAAGTCAGTCTTTGTGACAAACTTCTTTACCTACTGAACCATCCCACTTGTCCCAAGTTTTTAGGTTCAAGTTCATTTTAAGAAAGTAATAAGCACTGCTGGGCTGCTAATAGTTCAGTGGTTAAGAACATTTGCTGCTCTTACAAAGGACCAAACTTCAATACCCAGCACATACTTCAGATGGCTCCCAACCACCTATAACTTTACAACTCCAGAGGAACCAACATCTTTTTCTGGCCTCAATGGCATCCTAGTATACATAACACATACACACCAATGAAAATTAAATCTTTACAAAAAAACTCAATAAGCATTCTTATTAAGTTAAACGGGAAAGGAAACAAAGACATCTTTAACTCCTCCAACTATATCCCAGATGTTAGAAGTGCAAGAATAAAGTGCAAAAGTGCTTAAAAATAAAATAGCATGCTTTTTTTTTTTTTTATAAACTTCAGAAATCTAACAAAGGATAGATAATATATATATCTCCAGTAGAGAAACCACAAGAGTACTATTTCTAGAAATTATCAAGATTTTTTTTTAAGGAATTATCAAGCAGTAAATATCTTCAAGGGATGCCACATCTAAATGGCTAAAGCTTCTAAAAGTATCTGTGAAGGTTAACATTTCATTCTTCTCCAAGTGAACAGCACATAGGGGTCTTACCATATTCCCCATCATCTCTGCCTTGATAATCTTGGCACCCAACTTGTTCTTTTCATCAACACTCAAGATACAGGTAGATTCTGTCTCTGAACTGCAGAGGAGACAAGACAGAGGAAGAGCATATGTCATAAATCAAAATCATGCATTATCTTAACTGACCTCAATGAAGCATTCAGCATCAATCATAATTCTCACACATAAGAATTAAGTCCAGAATTCTATGGTGAAATGACATTTCAAGATTCTGTTATAAAGCCAAAAATACCCTATTACAGTTACAATAATAACTGAGAGTACTATTAACTGTAAGATAAGTAATATACAAATTAACATTTTCATTTTTTAAATACTCAGCCAGTAAACTGTTGCACATCTATAACCCCAGCACTCAGTAGACCAAAGTTGGAAGCTGCCAAAAGTTACAAGCCAGTTTGAGTATGGTGAATTTGAGGCTAGTCTGGGCCTCACAAAGAGATACAATAAATAAAATCTATACTCATTTTAAAAAGGAAACAAACAAAAGCACAATTTTCTATATCTTAAGAAATTCTGTATTAAATTTGATAAAATTTTGATCATCTTAGAACTATAATCTTAGTATGGTATATTTACCCAGACTCAACAATAAAAGCAACAATTATGTGCTCTTTTGTAAAGCTTGTTCATAATTACTCAGAATGTAAACTGAGTTTACATTCAGTTACTTGCTGAAGTCAGAGTAGTCTCATATAAGGGAAACTTTCAGCCAATATCAGATAACCCCAGCTTAACTTTTGGAGTCAAGGCTACAGAATAAGGAGGGTGAACCCAGCACGAGTCTAGAGAAGTCCTGAGCAAAGAACAGTAACAGTAGTCCCAGTTCATGACACAAACTGCCAAGAGAAAACTATGCTATGAGAAAATCCCCCCAGGGCTGCCCTGAAGTATACAGCAAAGAAATACCAGTATTCAGGGAAACAATTCTCCCACTGGTTAAAGAATTGTTATGAGAAATACTGATATCAGTGTCTGGTCCCGTGAGTGACACAGCAACATTACAAAAGTAGGAAAATACTGGGTAGAATGCTTTGGAAATAATATGTCATGCACAATAAAATGCTACTGTAAGCCCAAATTAAAAATTGTTAAAATTAACAGTCAAAAATAGCAAATGTTTCACATAAATTATATTCTAAAACAAAGTGCAAATATATTTAAATACATGACATATTTGAATGCAAATATTCTTATAAAAATTATCAGTTCATAAGATGAATACATGCCCATAAAAAATAGGACAAATGTAGCATTCAACAAGCAAACATTATATCTAGTATCCAAATATTATAGGATACACAAAAGTATAACTAATATTTATAAGATAATTCTACCAATCAAAAGACACCCAGAATTGACACAAATAATAAGGGAAGATGATAATATGCTCAAGACCAGCTTGGCCTGCATCAGCATAAGACCTTGTCTCTAAAGACACAATAAAAACAACAACAAGATGCAAATTGAACTTCTATCAGGAAAAGTACAACCCCGGAATTAAAAATAACACACTGAATAAGTTTTTTAGAAAATCAGGTTACTAAAAGACCAGTGTACTATAAAAAAATGAAACAAACAAAATTAAAAAGAACCTCATAAGACTGCAGGGCAATCTTAAGTTCTCTACCATATGGGGAGTCCCTCAAAGAAGGGAAATAAACAACAAAGGCTCAAATTTCCTAACGTTATTGAAAATGAAGAAGCAGCTCAAAGAAGTTGAAGTATGTAAATAGATGGGACAACATAAAGCAGAAGAAAAACTAAAGTTTATTTATTTATTTTTATGTATTTGAGTATCCCACCCACCAAAGCATATGAAATTTGAAATTATTAAAAAATTCTGAAGATTTTTAGCATTCAAAATATAGGTTTATTAAAAGTATATAAAATTACCTTCAAGATACACACACACACACACACACACACACACACACACACACACACATACGTATATACCAGGTATTTTATGGGGCAAAACATATTTCATGCACAGGCATAAATTTCCCAAGATATCTTATGATACATATGCAGGTGTAAATGTTCCAATATAAAATAAATAAGTCTGAAACACTAAAAAAGGCACCAAACATCTAAGATAAAGGATACTCAGCCTATATCCCAATAAAAATATCTAAATATTTGTATTAAAAAGGAGTTATTACCTATGGATGTTTTTAATTAACCAAAAAATTCTGTTATATGTAAAAGGAAGAAAGACACACCGTGTCAAAATTATTCAAAGGAAAGCTGAAGTATCTATGCTAATATGAGACAAATTACTGTACAACACAAAGATATACTATCATGGACAAAGAGGGTCATTTTATAAGAAAAATGGGTTGAGCAATCAAAGTACATAGGAATTTCAATGTCTGTGTATCTAATAAGGGAGTGTCAAAAAAACAAAAACTATGGACTACAGCTTCTCACCTGCTGGGCCCAACAACCCCCCCCCCCACCTCCTAGGAAATTCCTAGGTCAGCTCTGAGCATATTGGACTCACCTATCCACACCGGACAACATTGAGCCCACAACCACCTGCTCTCTGCCAGGGTTGAGTCTCAGACTAGTTCAGGCCAAATCCCCCAACATCCTTCCCTGGGAACTCCCTGGGTTAGCCCCACATCTCGCTCCCCCTATAAACCTTGCCCTGAGTGGTACAGTCCTGGTACTCTGGTCCATACATCACCCAAAGAAGAAGATCTCCTGAGCATATTGGGAGTGGGAGGCAGTGAGTTGAGCTAAGAGAAAGAGAATGGGAGGAGAGGAGAACATGTGGGACCAGGAAGATTGAGTCAGGGGACTAATAGAAAAGAGCAATAAACAAACAAACAAACAAACAGATAGATAAATAAATAAATAAGAAACCCATAATAGAGGCATTATAGGTTTGAAGAGAAAACTGACTCTAGAGAAATAGAGAAATGTCCACAGACATACAAGACTGACCCCAACTAACAATCTGAGCAACAGTGGAGATTCTGCCTTAAATGCCCTTCTCTGATAATGAGATTGATAACTAACTTATATGCCATCATAGAGCCCTCATGTAGTAGCTAATGGAAACAGAAGCAGACACCCACAGCTAAACATTGAACCGAACTCCTAGAATACAGTTGCAGAGAGAGAGGAGTGATAAGAAAAGGGGCCAAGACCAGGCTATAGGAACCCTCAGAGACAGCTGACCTTAACAAGGGGGAGCTCATGGACCCCCAGACTGATAGCTGGGACACCAACATTGGAGCCACTCAAAACCCCTGAATATGGGTCTTAATCAGAAGGCCTGGGTAGTCTAAGGGACCTCTGACAGTAGAACCAGTTTTTATCCCTGGTGAAAGAAAGGACTTTGGGAGCACATTCCCCATGGATGGATAGTCCCTTAGCCTAAAGGCAGGAGGGCCTAGACCCTACTCCAAATGACTTAACAGATTTTGATGATCCCTCCCTGAAGGTATCACCCTCCCTATGGAGTGGGTGGGGAATAGGATGGAAGGGAGTATTGGGGGACATGAGAGGGAGGGAACGTGAGGGAACTGGGATCGATATGTAAAACAAGAAAAAAATTAATATATATGAGTGCCCATAGAGGAAATGATCCTTCTATAATACTGTTGTTTATAACATAAAATAACATGACAATTCAAGGAACAGTCTTATATTTTCTTAATATTCAATATTCAAAGTACAAGTAGTGTTTGATCCAGCGATTCATTTCTTGGCAATTATGCTATAGAAAAGAAAGCATATGCATATGAGTGCATAGAAATGCTTTATTGCTAATGGTGAAAAACAGGAAACAGTCTAAAATTTCACCAGCAGGGAATCAAGAAAAAAGACTGTGGTTTACAAACCAATGATATCTTACCCATCAATGAAAAGGAATGAACTACTAATATTCCCAAGCTGAAATGAAGCTAAAAACAACTATGCTCCGTTAGAGAAGCCAGAGTTCCTGAAAAAGTACACACTGTATTTCCACTTAACATAAAATGTGTGTGTGGAGAAAGAGAGAAAGCAGACAGATCTGAAAATGGAGAGTTAGCTTTCTGAAGGGTATTGACAGGAGGGAGAGATTATAAAAACTCACCAGGAAACTTGCAGAGGATAATGTTATAAGATACACATACATATTCTAAAATTTACAAGTTGCGTACAGCAGTTTATCATGCATGCTTTCATTACACCTCATTAGGCTTTTACATTTTCCCAAGATGAGCAACAAAGAAAAGGTAAGGCAAAGCAAATTTTCAGAACCATTAGAATCCTAATTATAAAGAAACTACCTAGTGAATATGTGCAGATCCACATTTACGGAAATGTCACAATGAAGTCTATCTTTCTGCACAATGGATATATGATTAAAAAAACTCTTATCTTTTATATGGTAGTTTTCCTGGATTCAAGGTTTTATTATTATTTGTTGAAATTAAGATATTATTTTCTTAACATATCTTCTTAGCAAAGAAAATAAAACATAAACAACCTCTGAGAAAGAGGGAGAGGACAAGTTAGTTTCTCTGTCATAAAAAAGACAATTTAACAGACACCACTTGAGTTTGATTTTTCAAGACATTACATTATCCTGTGCTATAGAAACTATTTTGTCTTACACTAGGTGCACACCAAGAGTAAAATTCTAGAGCTTAAGTTAAATATATATATGTATATATATATATATATATATATGTATATGTATATGAAGTAAAGTAATCACTAGGAAGGAATTTTTCTTTTCCTGTGTGTACTTTTGAGACTGTATTTGAAAACTCAATTAAAACAAACAGTGGTGCACTGCATTCATCTGATTAGGAGAATATTGTAACTGCCTATTTTGCCTCTGTGGGTTCTATTGCTTGTACCACGAGTTGTACTCTTTCGTACAAAAGAATTCTCAAATTAAATAATACATCATTTTATTGTAATGAATATATTTTTTTGACTTTCAGCAACCCATATTTAGTTCTATAATTTTTTACTTCCTACTCAACACATTTTTCTCAATTTGTATTATTTCCCATTCAGTTAAATTCCTGCTTTGTAAATGTACTGTTCTTG